GTAATGTTCTTTTTTTTTAAAGGGGGGGAGCAGAATCAAGTGAATATGATTATCGGTGTTCAAATGGATGTGAAAATCAGAGGAATGTAGCATATTTAGAATAGATAATAAAAGAATGTTACATGCACATAAAATAAATTATCTTACAATAGTTCTTTAAAAATACCTGAAAACTGCAAATAGATAAGGGAAAGTCACCCACTGTTTGAAATATGTTTTCTTTCCATATACAAAACATCATTTTTGAGCACTGGTAAGTATTTAAATATCACAATTGACAGGATATGATATCTTCCATCACCCTGTGTTTTCTGTTACAAATAGAATATAATTTATTGGTTATTGGTTGTCTACACTCTTTTCCTCTCCCTGATATCTCCATCCTTTCCCCCTTCTCTTATCTCCCCCATTAAATGTTTAGTATAGATCAGAGACACACCAAAAGGTGTTTGGGTGGGATGGGTGACTGTAGAATTTAATTTTTTAAAAAACTCTCCCCATCTCCTCCTTTAAAACACACTTAATGTTTATTAAGTCAATTTTAAATTATATAAAATGTTTACCTTAAAGGCATCCAGATTTCAATAAGTATAAAAGGGTACCTGGCACTAAACAACCCCGAGTCAATACTAGTGGTATTTACTAGGTTGTTTCTATATACAGCACATGCTATGAATGTACTTTGATCACAATAAGAAAAATATAATAGATTTTTTAAAAGAACTGCTGTGTAAGAGTGTTCCTTTTCTTTTATATGACAGAGTTTGATCTTGATTTTTTTTTTAAAAAAAAGCCTTTTAAAGTACCTCTTTCTTCCCACTATGCTAAAGATGTGGTACATATATATTTGCTTTTCTTTAAGGAAAAAATATAGGGGTTGCTTACATGGGGAAAGAAAATTTTGTTCTCCAACACCCCCTCCCATTCTACCAAACCGTTTTAGTCGACATATGTTTGTTATCAGAGAGAGGTGCTGAGAACACACAGCCATTTTCTTAGCAGCTTTTTGACTGTATGTTACCATAGTCCCACAAGGCATTGGTCCTTTCCCATTGGGAAGTCATGAATAAGAGACTATGAAGCTCACACGTCAGATCTTCCTCAATTAATCCACCATTAGCATGTCCGGGGTCCACTACTGGATGGTTAACAGCGGCTTTTGTAACTGTACGCCGACCATACCCAATTATGCTTTGCTAAAAATGAACTCTTTGCAGCCCAAGCCTCTCGGGCTGTCAGTGTTTTCCGTTTTCCTATTTTAACGTTTGTGTATAGTGGCAGGCGACAGATGGTGTGGATCAGATCGATTTGATTGCATTAGATGATTTTTTTCCCCTTCCCCACGCCTTTCTGGAAGCTCGCATCAGCTGAAGGCTCTCGCCTGGGACTCCTCCGAAGCATGAGCAAGCCGCCACCACGCGAAGGCACTGGGGCACAGCCAGCGCGAGGCGACGAGGTCTCTTCCCAGGGCTTGTTAACACTGTAACCCGGCGCTCTGAGAGCCGCGGCTCCCACTGCCCAAGCCTGCCTCGCCGCCCATCGGATGACTCCTGGCTTCTGCACACAGTTGGAGTTCTGCCGGCAACCTGGATTTAGAGGGTAAGCACTTCATTCTAGACGGATTTGTGACAGTTACTTTGCTGTACCTGCGATGCCGCAGACAAATCTCAGCAAACGCGAAGGATGTAGGATGTGTGGGAGAGGGCGACTATGTTTACATCGGTAAATGGGTTTCTTTTTGTCTGAGATCGAGAGTGTTATTCAGTGACGATGTGTATGGTGTTTTGGCATTGATTGTAGGAGTCCACTACCACCCTCCTCCCGATTTTTCCCTCTCCTTCGTATTTTCCCCTTTCTACTTGAGAGGGAAGGAGAGAGAGAGAGAGAGGAGGGAGGAGGGAGAGAGGGAGGGAGGGAGGGGGAGAGGGAGAGGAGAGGGGAGAGAGAGAGAGAGAGAGAGAGAGAGAGAGAGAGAGAGAGAGAGAGAGAATATTTCTGCTTAGCTTAATTGCCTTATTTCCTAAACCGATTGTTTTGTAGCTTGCTTTATATATATTTGGTTTTTAATTACCAAGCGTTTAGCTGGGATGGGTGCTGGCGAGTGGGGGACAGGGTGGGGAAGTACAGGGGAACACTGCCATAGTCGCGGTGGCCTCGAGAGATCAAAAGGTGCCAAAAGCACCCCTTGCCCCTTGCCCGAAAAACACACCTTCAGTTACTGGGGCGAGAGAGAATTGTAGATTCTAATAAACATGGCTTGCAGGAGTCGACGAACAAAGGTACTTAATGCGGACCTAAGCCTCCGCTGCTATTGCTCCGATAGCGGTACCTAAATATTCAAAAGGAAAGTGTAAGTTGATCAACAAATGCCCTGGTAGTATTGGGCTTTTTCCCTTTTCCGTTTTTGTGTGGAGGGTGGAGGGGGGTGGGGAGGGTAGATGGGTGGGGGAAATCCGACAGCTTAAGGAGGTTTGAATTGAATATGCACCCAGCGGCAGTGGTCTCGTAGGAAATGGTGTTCTCGTAAGTCAGGCTGCCCCGCTGAAGCACTAGAGCTGTGGTTAGAGCTCGGAGCGTCAGTTCTGTTGGAAGTGCTGCGGGCTGTCTGCCTGGGCTGAGCTGTCCACTGGTCCAGGTGCTGAAGTGTGGAGCATTTGGTATGTAGGGAAAGGGCTGACTCTTGTGCTTGGCTAGGAAGAAACCCTATCCATTGCGTTGTGCTAGGTTTTCTTTTCTTTTTAAGCATGTGAGTCTGTGGTCTCTGTGTGTGTCCGTGTGTCTGGCGTCCGTGTGTGTGTCCGTGTCCGTCCGTGTGTGTGTCGTGTCCGTGTGTGTGTGCATGTGTGAGATTTTCCCAGAATTATGATAAACTAAGGGAAAGTACTTGGAAAGCACTGAAAAGCTGTGTGGGCATTTATGCCATGATTCTACAGAATGAGAAAAAATGTGTGCATGTGGTGTGTGTGTGTGTGTGTGTGTGTGTGTGTGTGTGTGTGCCTTAACCATCTTTCTGAATTGAAAAACATTCCATTTAGTAAATCAAATCCTATTTGTACAATGTGTCTTGATTTCCTTTTAGGAGTAGTTGAGATTTTAAATAAAAGAGTTCAGGAGGAAATGTACACTTTGCTCATAGACTATTGCATTACTTTCCCTAAGGGCTTTTGTTTCTAGGAGTTCAGGCTAAAGGGAACCTGTCAGCTTTCTTGATTTTTTTTCCTGGTGGTAGTACCATAGAAAAGCTCCATTTTATATTTATGTTGGGTAATGGCAGAAAATAGTATTTGTTAATTGTTTCACTGGCTTGAGTGTTTTGGTAAATGGTGTAATCATGAGTTACCTAAAAAGATACTGTAAAATAGGCTAGTCAGTGGGAAGTACTATTTTTCTTTTGAGTTATTTCAGACAGACATTAAATCATAAAATCTAGAATTCATGTTGGTTTTTCTACTTGTAAATAATGTGTCAGGAAAATGATGAGTTGGTATGCCTGGAGAAGTATTATATCAAAAATAATAATGAGAGCAGGCACAACCTAAGTGCCTTAAATTACAACCAGGTCAGTCAGATATGAGTTGTGGTGGTGGGAGAGACTGTTACATAATTACTCCTTGATGAAGAGCTATTTGCACTTACATAATTTGAGAAATCATGTCTGTTGCCATCTTTCCATATTCCTCCCCTTCACTCACATAGATGTACTTTCATGTATTAGAAAGTAAAGCAAGAAACAAATTGAGAACTTTCCAAGGGAGCCGCAGCATGTCTTGGGTGGTGGCGTTCCACTGCTCGATTTTACTTAGTGAACAATAAACCCCCATTTGTCAGAATATCCACTGCAGGGTCTTAAGACAAAGCTGTCCAAGTAAGAGCCATGTCCATGTAGATCATCAAAGAATCAGGGATTTTTCTCTGAATGTCAAATTTTGTCACTTTGAGAATGAGTTTTTATTGAGTTCCTCCTTAAAAATTATTTGCATGAGGACAGAGCTTCAAAGGGATTTCTGTAGAGGTGTTCTTAGCACAGCACAGTGATGTATTGATAGTGAGTCTTGAAACGTGGGCTGAGAAATTAAACACCCTGGCAGTCCTAAATGATGTTTAAATCCTAGAAGCTCTACCAGCTTGTCAACTTAGTGAGTTCAGATAGTATGGAATATGGGTTTAATTATTTTGTGCCTCGAAGCAGTTTCCCTCCCTTATGTTGGATATAGCTCTAAGGCCTTCAAAGGGAAGATGCCTGTTTTTGCAGATCTATAAGTATTTTATTTCAAGTAGTAAATTGAATGAGTGTTTATTTTCTGTGATCTTAAGCTTGAGACCATGCATTTCCAAAACACACGCTGTTGAAAATTTCACCCATGCATGACCTTATCTTGATCTGAGTCCCACTTCTAAAGCCGTCCAGGCAAATACATTTGTAATATTTGTGTGCTTAACTATGCATGTCTTCTACAGGGTTCGCTCGCTGCCATGACACTCAATCAAAGCACCTAGAGTGGGCTGGCCGTGACCAGAGTGGGCATGAAGCAAAGCAAGTCCTAAGGAGAGCGCTGGATGATCACCAGGTAAACTGAACGTTACTTATCACTCCGCAAAGAGCCTTGGCACCTCGTCCCAGCTCCGTAGAAAGAAAGCACTTGTCTCTTGTGTGTTAAGTGGCTGGTTCTGTGATTTGTCTTTCAGAATTGGAAATAGAGCAGCCATTTGGAGGATCTGGGCAGGAAGCAGCCGAGCACAGCTTTGGAGCCTTCTTTAGGGAAATCGAGTTATGGATTTATGGTCCCGGTCAAGCTCAGCCCAGCCCCAGCCAGGGGCGGGCTCGGCAGCAAGAGTTCTTTCTGGTGGTAGCGGCGGCGGCAGCAGCGACAGCAGTAGCAGCGGCAGAGGCAGCGGCAGCTTGGCCCCTCTGACTCTCTTCGGTGACGGGTATTCTTGGGTGGATAATACGGATTACGTTGTTATTGCTTAAGAATACGCGTAGTCGAGGAGAGTACCAGCGGCAGGCGGGCAGCAGCCGCCCCTCCCAGCCCACCAGCTGGCCACTAAAAGCTCCCGGTTGCCAAGGTAGCACTTCTGTTTTCTTTTCCTCGGGTGGTTTCGTTCTGGGTCTTCCCAGCACCTCTGCTGACCCAGACTGCTTTTTAGAAGGAAAAAAAAAAAAAATGGGTGCGCGCCGGGGGAGGGGGCGGGGGGCAGGTGGAGGAGAGGGGAGGAGAGGGGCGGAGAAAGGAAGAGGGTCTCTGAAACCCGGCCTGTGGGCTGTGGGGCCATTCGCGTGTGCCTTCTGGGTAGTTGTTCTCTCTCTCTCTCTCTCTCTCTCTCTCTCTCTCTCTCTCTCTCTCTCTCTCTCTCGACTGGAGGGCAGAGGGACAAGGCGCGGATCTGAAAGATTCTCTAAAGTTGCAAAGGATTGGAAGGCCTGGACCGGTTTAGTAGCGCCTCTGAGCGCTGAGCTAGAGCAGGGAAGAGGGTCGCCTGGTGCATGCCTTGGCCGAAAGGGCGTGCCCGTGGGCGAAGGTGCCCCCGGCATGCTTGTCCAAGCTCGTGACTTCTCGAATCCCCGGCCTGGGGCGGGGCCGGAGCCCCACCCGCAGCCGGCGGACCTGCTCAGCAGGCAGACGTGGCAACCCAGCCTGAGGAGGGGCGGGGGACATGGGGCTGGGTCCCCGTGGAACTTTCAGATTACAAGTGTTGTGGGTCTCTCAGGAACCCCTATTTTCTTTTCGGATTCTCCGTGAAGAGGTGGAGAAGCAGGCTGGTAATCGGATTGGTTGCACTGTGGCACGGAGCTGGAACCTTCCTGAAAGAGGCTGGGGCAGGCAGCGACTGTTCAGATGTCCAGTTTCTTTGGGACACTTCTCCAGCGCTGCCTTCCTTACCTCTGCCTTTGGGATGAGTCTCAAACATCAACAAAATCAAGTCATGTTCCCAGTCTCAGGTCGGCGGAAGAGGAATGGGAGGATGAGAAAATCCTCCACTCTTCTTGCAGTGTTTGTCTGTTTCTAATGTTAATGGACCATAAAGCAATGTGGATGCATCCCCTCCTAGCGAAGAGCAAGCAATCTCTGGAGCGACCCTTCCATCACGCTCCAGCATTCCTGGGGCAAGCGGACCTAACAGGAGTTTAAGATGTTCCTTGGAGCCGGAAAATAGGGTCCACCGTGGTGGAAGGCACTGGCAGAGGCTCAAGAGCTTAGCCCTAGCTGGCAGCGGACCTCTTAGCTATGCAGCTCGCTTTTATTACTCTTGGGAAGCTACAAGGGTTCCTTGGGTGGTGGCGCTTCAAAGGTGGGAGGAGAAATACTGGGGACAAGAACGATCCAGGTGCCCGGAAGGTTCCGCAGGGCACAGCTAGACTTCGGACCAGTTTTCCTCCCTTGTGTGTTCCCGGTTGATTTTGTTTGAGGGACTGGCTCCGAAGAAGATTGAATTCCTGAGAAGTCAAAGCTGCTGGAGAAATGAAAGCAGCTCTCCCTTGTGGCGTTTCTGGACCCACTTTAAGCTCAGTTGCGTCCAGCCACCTTCTCCCTCTGGAGTATATGCCATTCCTGGTGCAAGACTTGCATTCTCTCTACTGGGTCCTTGCCCACAAGAGCAAGCTGACCCCCGGGGAGACTGCAAAAGATGTGCCTTGGAGAAATAGCCTTTCCCAGTTAAGGTCTCTCCCTTTCTTCCAGCATTAGATCTGTAATGATGGGTTCTCCACGCCCCTTCTTCCTCTTTCCCTCTCCCTGTCCCTATTTGTCTGGTCCCAGGCTGAGTCCCAGGCTATCTAGACTGGTAGCTCTTGTATTTTAGCTATGTTGATAAGAGGGGAAACGGGTGGGTCCTGTTCAGACTCCTGGGAATGAGCCGGTTTTCAGAATAGGGTGAAGCAAGCAGATTGTCTTTGCCTGCAACATCCTGTCACTACCAAGAAAAATATGTAACCGAGGTTCTTTTCTTTCATTTTTCCAAGAATTAACCTTCTTTCTCCAGTTGGTGATTAAGGGCTTTTAAATATTGTTCTTGTTACGGATCTAACGATACTCAATGTGTCTACGTGTGCTGTTGTTTCCCTGGAAATTAGAAAAGTAGAGAGCAGTGGTGTAGGCTAGCTGCTAGGTTATACCTGGAGAGTTGGTCTCATGCTGGTGGATTATCAAAGTGTGGACAGGTTTAAGGACAGACAGCGCTGAGGGCCTGGTATTGAAGAGAGAGATAGAAGATGGCATACGCCATCATTTGTTGTGGGAAGAAGCAAAATCTTTTTGGAAAATAAGCTATTTCATTCAGATCTTTAGCACTGGCGCTTCAGCTCATGATTGAAATTGCTTCATAAATGAATAATAAGTTTTAGAGTGGGATAATGGGAAGGGGAAGGAGGCCTCTGCCCATGCTATGACATATTGTTTGATTTTCTTCTGATTGAGTGGTTTCAATTTTTATCCGGTTACTTTCTTTTGAAGAATTATTTACTTATAGAAGTTTCCATTAGGTGTCAGTCTGACTGAACTGGTTCCTGTTTTAAATTATTTTTTAGGGGGCAGAGGGGCATACCTACTCATGGTGGTATTTAATAATAAGGGGCAAATCAATCCAAACTTTTTTAACTTGACCTGACTGTGATTGTTTTTGTGGCGAGACAGCCTATTGTTTTTGATCAGAAAGCACAATTTTTAAAAATTACATCACAACGACCCAATTACTGCTTGTACACTGTGGGTATTCCTTGCCAACTGTAAAGAAGTGCAAAGTGCTTGCTGGTGGTTTTCCTGTCAGAACCCAGAGATACTAAGTAGTCATAATCATTTTTCCATTAAGGTCCATGTGCAAGAAGAATAGGCATCATCTTTACAATATTTGTTTTGCCTTAGGAAATGAAGAGAACGTCTATTACCTTAAGTGAATGTAGGTACAGCTTAGACTCTGCTGGGTAATATCACTTTGGGTATAATGAAGGGAGGGAGTGGAAAAAAAACCTTGTAAACGTTGCTTTTGATCATTATTTTTTCTTTGAACAAGGCTGTCTAAATACTCAAATATTTAGAGCCTCATTTTATGGTTTATTAATAATAGCTTTGGAACATACCATCTAAGTGTGTATTATATCTGTGAACACTCCATTTACACTGCAATATGTAACATTCATGACCAGGTGTAAGAAAGACCATCTTGGTTAATGGTTTGCTACTGAATCTCAGGTAAGGAGTCTGACAGAAACTGGATTTTACAAAGAACTTGCTTATTTTCTTCTCTGTGCCTTTGAGTCATGTTCTGATGTTGCTGCTTACACAGAACTTCAGGGAAATTGAATTCAGGACCAAAGATTCATAAAAGTTTGTGATGTGAATACATATATATAAAAAGTAATGAACTAGTGACTTTCACAAGATAGACTTTTCAAGAACTAGGCATGTTCCAGGACCAAGACATTTTCTGGAGCCATTGTTAACCATAGAAGGAATGATGCAATTCTTGGTATCACACCAATGTGAATCTAGAACATAAAAAGAGCTCCTAATGACAGTCTGGACAAAGAAAAGGAGTGAGGAAGTAGCAGTGGGAGGGATGGAAAATTCCATCAATCGTATTGAAACTTCTCACATTGTATTTCATTTTAGGGGTGGTAATTTTTCAGTAGAAAATGATTATGTGATGGGAAGGGTGGGAAATATTTTTGGAATTTGTGTAGAAGAAATATTTTGTACTTTGAGGAGAAAGACGGTGCCATAGAAGAAGTAACAGGAAGTGGGGACCACCATTATTCACCATCTTCTTGACACTGAACAGATGTAGTTATGCTTGTATCAGAGAAATAATAAGATGCTGCTGCTCTCTGTTAGAGAGTCAAACATTTTACGAAGTAAATTTGCTTTGAAAAAATTTTCACTAAAACAAAATTACTAATGACCACAGAATATGTAAAAACTTTATTAGTTGTAGATAGCTATACAATTATAAACATAAATGATACATAAGTTTTAAATAACTCATTTTATAGTACAGTGTGTGTGTGTGTGTGTGTGTGTGTGTGTGTGTGTGTGTGTGTGTAAATATTTGAGGAAGAATTTTCCCATGGCACCTATATGTTGAATCATTACTTAGAAGCTTTGGATTTCACTCTTTATAACATTTTTCATGAGTGTGTAAAATAAGCCTTTCAATTGAAAAAGCATGGCAATTAATACACAAAAGTATACGATGAAAAGAAACATTGAAACATTTTATACTTCCCTGAACTGTGTTTTGAATCTATTAATTTAGTTGATTATTGAATGCAGAGTAAGAGTTGAAGAAACACACTGTGATATTTGTATCATCCCAGTTTTTGTCTAATTTGTGACTAGTTAAATATGGTTAACATGAATTCTATTGTGACCCAACTAATTATGATGTTAAGTAAGAGAATCTGATCTTCAAAGCCAGTAAAAAGTATAACAATGTCTGTATAAGTGTTTATGAAAATATCCTTTCCAGATACTGTAATAATCCACAGTATCTGAAAATATATACATATATCAAGATAGCTGGAATCAAAAGCTTTCCAAATCTAAAATTCCACCATTACATTAGTTCAATTATTCAGTTCTAAGAATGTAAAACAAGACTTGTTACATTTGTTTTGCTGGCTTAAAATTTGTCCTGAATTTCATTCACTTAAACTTCAAGCTAAAAGAACAGAATCCTAATCTTTTATACTAATACTATATTCTTGATTCAAGTACAGTTTCCATCACTGAACATTTCAAAAAGTTGACAAAGTATACTATACGATAAAGGCAACAGTTGCATAATTTGAGAGTAGTATGATTACAATGTAATGAACATATATCTTAAGAAAAGCTCTACTAAAGGATTACTTTTTAACAGTTTTATGTAATTAGAAAAATAATTTCTTAAATTTTGTTCCTATAATTTTTATCCTCTGTATTAATGAGAAATAATGGTGTCTTTTTCTTCTATTGAACATGCATGGTCAACCTAAGTACTGGCTCGAACAAGTCACAAACTAACCAAGTTCCTGATTAGTTAATTTATTAATGTTCTATCAGAAAGTGACATTAGAAATAAAACTTTCACCT